AGACAGGAGACCTACCAGCAGGCACTGGACATGGGCGAGGAGCTGCAGACTCGGGACAGGAGCAACTGGAAGGAGGTGAGGAGGACCAGTAATGTTTTTTATTTTTATTTTTATGAACTGCGGATGTGTTGGTTCAGTCTGGTGTATGAACATGTTTCCTCATGGTTCTTCCAGGTGTTGGAGAAGCTTGATGCGCTGCAGGCAGAACGAGACAAAGTGGAGGAGCAGTGGAACAAGAAACAAAGCTGGTTAGAAACAGTTCACCTGGAGCAGGTTTTCTACAGAGACGTTGACAGCTTGGACAAGACGTCCAGCTCACAGGAGGTGCGCTCTGGGTTTGTTCTCTAGGGGACCGTGAGAAATGAGATTCAGTCTCTCATCAGCAGTAAAACCTCTGCTGTGTGTCCACAGATCCTTTTACAGAACAGCACTCTGGGAAACACCGTTGATGAGACGGAGGGTTTAATCAAACGTCACGAAGCCTTTGAGAAGCTGCTCAGCTCGCAGGAGGAAAAGGTCTGCCCTGCTTCTGTACTGGGGTGTCGAGCTGCAGATAACTCACAGTTTCACATTTGTGGCAAATGTGCAGCTCTTTAAATCAAACAAACTAAATGACTAAGTTACTGAGGATAATTAGTAGAATTAAAGGCGTCCAAAATTCACACCTCTGGAAATTGGTTCACAAAAGGGATCAGGGTCCATCTGATGCAGGGTTGGCCAATTCCATTCCTCGAGGGCCACTGTCCTCTCAGAAGCTGGAATATACCAATTCACTTTGTCTTTCCTCACTCCACTTTCATCTAAGATGGTATTTTCCAGCTTCTGACTGGCTGAACACACCTGAGCCAGGTAATCAGCAGCAGGTCAGGCAGGGATAGTTGGAAAACAAGCAGGACAGCGGCCCTCGAGGACTGGAATTGGCCACCCCTGCATAAACTACATTTGACAACGCAATAAGCTGCACAAATTCTTACATTTATCTGTGTATAGCATTTATTTGAAACCCCTCTTTATTCATACAAAATATTAGTCTTGGATTTTATTTAAAAAGTAAATGGTAGGAATAAGCCACAGTTTTTCCTAAAACATGTCTTGTAACTCTTTTTTCCTGTTCCTTCTCCTCAGCACACAGTAATACCTGCCCTTTAGTGGTGGCACACAGCATTACACCAATCTTAACAAGTGTGACCCATTACTGCCTACTAGTCAAATGTCTTGGAGTTGACTTGTAACTTATTCCCTGTTGGATGTGTAGTCTTGTAGATGAAAGAACTCCTCTAGTTTTACATGCCTAATTAATGTAAATGTCTTTTATACTTAATATTAATCTTGTATGTCCCATCAATATTCATATAACAGCTGGATACCGAATCACAAGATGGAGACCATTCTTCCCACGGATGTATTAAGGGAAAAAGGAGATTTTTCAATCTGTATTGTGAGTACGTTTTTTTTCATAATGTTAATGCATTCATTTATTTTTCCCATTGAATGTTACTTGCCTGGCGCACACAGCAAATTTGTTTTTCTTCTGGGGTTGCTTCAGCTTTCTGGGACATGCGCACTAGGTGGCGGAGGGGACAGCGGCTGAACTTTCTCAGTAACGCATACTTCATTTTTACCACATACTATCATAAGGCATATTTTTCAGAAGAGGCACCATGTTGCCACCATGCTGGTTTCAGGAGGCTCCTTGATTTCAGGCTTCACTTAGCCTTGACAGACATCTTTTAGTAATCCCTAACAGAATTTAGAAAGCCCAGATGTGGTCACTGAACTCCCCCAGTGAGTCCATGTGCAGTATTTGTCTAAAGGATTTAGGATAATTTTGTCTACTGCTCAGGATTGACTGGCTAGTATGTGGTTTATTCTACTTTGATGTGGGTTTTAGACCTTTAGTCAAAGGTTTTACTGAACTATGTTTAGTTGCATAAAGGTTTATTAAGCATTGATGCACTTTGCATATACTACTGGGACACCATATCAGAGAAGGCATTGGTGTAGATACATCTATTGCTGAAGCATCAAGCCTATGTCATGGTAAAACTGGCACAGGCTACAAAAACATGTAACTTTACCCAATATTTAGATAAAAACAAGTAAGCATTACAAGACCTGTAAGGCCATGTGTTTTTGCTGGTTCAGTTTAAAATATCCTTAAAAAAAATATGTGTAAATTTAAAGATAATGTACCTATAAATAAAAAAAGCTAATTATTTCCCAAGTAATGATAATTTGTTCATTTTAATCCTGTGCCCTTTAGACTTAAATAGATAAAGTGATGGGTTGAAGAGCCAACTCACTAAGGTTTCGTGCTCAGATCATTTGAAGGGATCCAGCCCCTGACTTCATACATTTACATATTCTCACTCTTTAACTGGGGCTTGGGAGGAATGGGGGCTTTATTAACTTTGGACTATTCTTTCTCTTTGTTTGCAGGTGACTGAACAGACCCGACCAGAGTATTGTGTGCAGTAGTACATGTGAATACATTTGCAACTCATTAAACCAGTGGCATGTCAGGTAGAAAGCGATATTGAACTCTTGGCTCACTTTAAATAATGGACAAAAATCAGGACTTAGCAATGGTACCATTTAATCATATTTCCACAGCAGCTTTTTTGGGCAAGTGAATGAAATCAGAAATATTCAAATTAATGTTTGTACAAACACCTGATGATTTCTAAAAACCAACATCCAGATAAGCTAACATTTGAAAATAAAAAAAAAGAATAAATCCAGAAACAGCACAACAGTCTTCCACCCTAAATATATCTAATTTGATTTACATGGCAACAATATCAAACAAAACTAAGTGCGATTCTCACTCTTTAACTGGGGCTTGGGAGGAATGGGGGCTTTATTAACTTTGGACTATTCTTTCTCTTTGTTTGCAGGTGACTGAACAGACCCGACCAGAGTATTGTGTGCAGTAGTACATGTGATACATTTGCAACTCATTAAACCAGTGGCATGTCAGGTAGGAAGAGATATTGAACTCTTGGCTCACTTTAAATAATGGACAAAAATCAGGACTTAGCAATGGTACCATTTAATCATATTTCCACAGCAGCTTTTTTGGGCAAGTGAATGAAATCAGAAATATTCAAATTAATGTTTGTACAAACACCTGATGATTTCTAAAAACCAACATCCAGATAAGCTAACATTTGAAAATAAAAAAAAAGAATAAATCCAGAAACAGCACAACAGTCTTCCACCCTAAATATATCTAATTTGATTTACATGGCAACAATATCAAACAAAACTAAGTGCGACAGTGCTGGTGGTTAGAATTGCTGAATTATTTTAAACAAAGTTAGTGCAATTTAGTTCTTGGCCACAATACAAATATCAACAACCTAAAGTAAAATAAGCTCTCTGAAAAGTCCTGTTGATCTTAAATCACAAAGTGTATTCCCATGTTATTACTAACACAAGCTACATTTTTAAAAGTTACCTGCAATTACATTAGTCATATTAAAAGAAATGATTTAGCTAGTTAATCCCTACATAGCAGAATGGCAATATAGGCCGTTTTAACTATCCTACTGAAACCAAACCTGTGTACAATAGAGTGCCATAGTAGTGAGTCGTAAAACCCAGGACATTTGCAAATTAAAAAAAAAAAAGAATAAATCCAGAAACAGCACAACAGTCTTCCACCCTAAATATATCTAATTTGATTTCCATGGCAACAATATCAAACAAAACTACGGTAAGTGCAACAGTGCTGGTGGTTAGAATTGCTGAATCATTTTAAACAAAGTTAGTGCAATTTAGTTCTTGGCCACAATACAAATATCAACAACCTAAAGTAAAATAAGCTCTCTGAAAAGTCCTGTTGATCTTAAATCACAAAGTGTATTCCCATGTTATTACTAACACAAGCTACATTTTTAAAAGTTACCTGCAATTACATTAGTCATATTAAAAGAAATGATTTAGCTAGTTAATCCCTACATAGCAGAATGGCAATATAGGCCGTTTTAACTATCCTACTGAAACCAAACCTGTGTACAATAGAGTGCCATAGTAGTGAGTCGTAAAACCCAGAACCGAGTTAGAATTTTTGCACTTCTGTTCCCTCGCCCTGAAGTCTTTTAGGTAGGCACTTAAAATAAAGTCTGTGGTTAACACAAGGCCAATACATTTTCATGATTTGTTCTATGAAATGAAATATGTCAGTAAATACATATCTTTAAAAAGGTGGTTGCTTCACAAGTGGCTAAAATGAGGCTACAGAGGCATCTGGGATATTAAACATCATTCTGACAAGGCCATTAATCATCTCACTAGTCTGCCTTTACAGTCTCGTTATATTTAAATACACGCACTTGCAAACTATTTTAACTGGCACAGCCATGATCACCTGCCAGATCAAGAGGAAAGGAATTTGAAGTCATGGGACCACAGTGTACTTTGTTTATAGCCTAACAATAGCTTTGTACTTTGGATGATTGTATTTAGGCTTCGACAATCAAGACATTCTACAAGACATTCTCTGATACCTTTCCCATAGACATCACCCATCCCTACTTGGCATCACCATGCCATCAAGATAACATCTGGAAAAAAGTGTCATAAATGGTTGTTTGTTACAGAGGTAATTCTCGACAATGATCCAAATGCTTATGGAAAAATCTATTCTTTTTTCGAGGGAACCCATGGTGATGCCAAGTAGGGATGGGTGATGTCCATTGGAAAGGTATCAGACAATGTCTTGTAGTAAAACTTTGCGATGGATGATATCTGCCATATGGGCAGTAATGTGGGTGAAAAAACAAAACTAAGTAAAGTGCAGGATTTGTTCTTCCGTAATATGATGTAAAAGATGGATCTCCATGACCATTTGCATGTAGAGCATCCCAAAGAATACTACATTCCCATCACTGATGTGAGATCAGCTGATAGTTTTACCAGTGAAGATGTTTCACTCTGTTGTAGTTAGAACTAGAGAAAAGCACTCAGGTCACTGGTGCCTGTCAGCCATCATCAATGGATGATGGCATTGTCCCACTGCCCATCCCTAATGCTAACTTTCGGGTTGGCATTCTACTATATTGCATACAAAATTTCTTTAATCTGCGAAAATCATTGCACCTGGTATATAGATTTGTTTGACAGCTAACAACACTGTCTTCAAGTATTCAGTGTTGGTTTAATGTTCCCCAAAATTTTATGCATAGCAACCAGTATTTCCACATTTCCCATTGCTGAGTATCTAGCAGCATGAATTTAAAGCATAAGATTACTCTTAACACTCGCCTGCTTACTTATTTCTGAGATTCATGGTAAAATCATCCAGCCTTTGGCATCAAAAGTTTACGTGTGTATAGTACCTGCTCTCAGAGCATACAGTGCCCTGTTATTGCAGGTGTTCACTTGGATAGCAGGGCAGCCAGCAGTGCAGGGTAGTTTGGTGTCCCCCAGCCTGTAACAGGATCCCACAATGGTGCAGCACAGAACCCTTGCCCCTGAACCTGCTCGTCCAGACAGCCTAGGTGACAGCCTTCAGTCACCTGGGAATGAGAATGCATAGGATTTAGGAGTCAGACCATGATCACAAAATGTGTTGAAAAAAGGTTTCCTTCTTCACTGAAAGAACCAATTTACTGGTTCCAATTAATACAGTAGCAAACTAATTGGAAAAAACAGTTGACTTGTGGTTTTCATATAAAATGTGACACAGTACTCAAGAAGGAACTGAAGTTCTGTGAAGGTGAAGAGAGTAAATATCAGCAAAGCACGAATTTAACTGTCCAGAAATGTTGGTAACAATATTAAAAGGCATAATGTATAATATTTAGAAGGATTTGTTAGCATAAACTGGTTATGTTTTCATTCATGTGTAATCCCTAGAAAAGAAGAATTGTTGCTTTTCCTTTATCTTAGAATGAGCTTTTTATATCTACACAGGAGTGGGTCCCCTATCGTGGAGGCCGCCATGTCTTTTTTACAGTAGCCCAGAAAGGACAAACCACACGCTGGATCTACAGTGTGAATTTTGCATTTTCGCACTGAAGTAGCATCTTGAATTTGGAGCTGCTTGGAAGACGAAGAAGTAACCTTAAACAAAAGGCAGCATTGCTGTGAGTTATAATAATTTGAAGAAATTTAGGATCATAGTTCTGCTGTTACAATATAGGCAATGGCACGAGATTAAGATAAACACTAGTGTGGCCTTTCCCACACCAGTGTTTATGTACCAGAGCTTTGCTGAACATTGCCATTTTCAACCTCACCGCTAGATGTCACTAAATAACACCCACTGTGCACCTGTTAACAGCAGTATCAAGTCTAAAAACAAGCTTTATACATAGTTTAGCTGAGACTGATGCTTTACCACAGTAGGAGTAGCTTGACTTACATCAAATAGCGGTTGTCCCTTGAGCTGGTAGAGGCGAGGGTTGAGGAAGCCCAGGGCAGGCAGACCCTTCAGCAGCCGCCGATCATTGATGAGAGACAGTATGCCTCCGACCACAGGGGTCGATGCCTGGAGGGACAATTAATACATGAGATGTGATGAAATGGCAGTTATTATTCTCGTGCATTTCCTTTTTCCATACATTTGCATCAGAACAACCCTATGAAAACAATGTAATGGCTATATCTAGGTAATCTCTTACACTGTCAATTCTGTGTTCACCAAAAAGTATAATCATGTTTGAATTATTTTACCGAGGTCCCAGACACCCAGGGCATTGGCAGTCTGTTCACGACCACCCAGTAGTTATCAGATAGAGCAGCCATGTCTGGGTAGGCCCTGCCACTGATATTGAAGTATGACTGAGGAGGAAGGTTTGCAGTCTTCAGATACGCTGCCACTGCACTGGACTGTTGTGTAACAAACACAAAGCACAGATTAGACTGCCTGCAATAATTGAACATTAAAAGAGGTGATGACCTAGTATTATTATTATTGTTACCTGGTAGGAAGGCATCTCGAAGACATTGCTGAAGCCTCCTCCGCTTATGTAATGTGTGACTTCATACGTGACTTTAAACGGGTTCTTGAATGAGGTTCCTCCTACTGTGGTCACATATGGACTGGAAACAAGAAGCAGGTCACAGAGCAATAGATGTTTGGTGCTTTTCCTGAACAGTCAGCAGACTAACGTTTTCATTCAGGTTTTTTTGTCTACATTTGTTACATGCAATATCCACATATGTTTGTAGATTCTAATATGTCTGCAGGGGTCCATAAAAGCAGAAACAAGTTTCCTATCAGAAACTCGGTTGATATTTTACCTTGAGGCTGGGAAACTGGGCCTGAAGGTGTTTCCTGTACCCACTTTTCTGCAGCTAGCACCGTCGTCACCTGTACATGAAACAAGATCGGAAAGATTAAAGATGATCTAACACATTTATCTCTACAGCAGACAGACATCATCCCTTTTCCTTATATTGTCAGCTTTCTCTCACCTGCAAAAGTTGTAAGCTGTACTGTCTTTTGTGACCAGTACTAATCAAAACAGGAATATGTAACTGACCTGACAAAATGTAACAAAAACTAACCCAGAATAAATTGGACGCAACAGTGCAGGATGTTTGCATATTTTCCACTAACTACTGACCAGAAGCAAAGAGCAATGATATTCCCCTGACGCCAGCCTTCATAAACTCTGTATTGATACGCATCATGTAGGCAGTAGACAAGCTGTCCTCGTCGTCGCCGTAGCTGATAGTGTGAACCCAGGGCAGGTCAGACATGTTGCTCAGCAGAACCATCCACTGGAGGAAAGGCTCCTGGGACTCGTGACGACCTGAGGGACAATGAAGAAACGCGAGTGTGTGTGTTTATAGGACTGAAATATGAGCGGTTGGGATGCAATGACGAGTGAAAACATTGTTTAATTATAGCAAATATTTTTTCCTTACTCTGATATTACTTTTAATGTCACGGCATTTTACTTCCCTTTGCATAAGCACATTTTTGCTTTTTACTCAACTTTGATATTTCACTTTGTAATTATATTTGGTCTGAATATGGTTATGGGTAGATGTATTAAAAAAAAGTTTAAAAAGTAAACGCAGAAACATCATTTAATGCTGTTGTCCAAAGGCCAGCAATTAAGCATTTTAGAGATCGTCAATGAAAATGACAGATGCAAAACATTTGCAAATATAAGTTCTTACATTCTTACAAATGTAACTTCATTACATTCAAACACTATGTAAAAACACTGAACAACTACAGCTGATAGGACTGCTGTTTGTTTTCAAGTATTTAAATTAGAAGTGACATGACACTCAAAACAAAAATCATCATCATCATGGTGGCACTACAGGAAAACTCAGAAGAGCAAAGTTGGTAGAATTTATCCCCTGCGGACCATGAGGTCTCAAAAGTTTACCAGAATCAATTCAAAAATGATTTCAACCTGGACCAAAGTGGTGGATCAAGCAGCTGAATGTCCAACACTACAATTAGCATGGGTAAAAACAGAAAGATGGGACAACATATCACACATCCATGCACACACAGCTAAAACTTCCTTCTTCTCTACACACCTGGATTGGTGAAGACCCATGTAGAGATGTTTGCCCCCGTGCTCATGATGTACTCTATATCCAGACTGGCCTCAAGGCCGGCCTTTCCTCTTTCCTGGTGGCCTACCACTCGATCCACCTCAAACTGATGGGGGAAGGTCCTGCCAAATATGCCCATGAACTCAGCCAAGTCAGCAGGGTGGTAATACTGCTCCAAGAACTGAAAGAAAAGACAGCTAGGTGGAGTGAAAAAGTACACCAAGTTATGGTGAAATTATAGCCTCAGAGTTGATGTATTTACAAGTCTAAAAGCGACACTCAGCATTTCATTACGTGAGCGGACGATACCTGAGCTACAGCCTGGCTGTTGTTCTGAGCTCTTCCCACATCAGTTGATGTGAGGTTATAGCGGGCCCTCAAGATATATGGATACACTCCGAGGTGAAACCCTGCCTTCGATTGCTTTTGCTTCTTACCGAGGTCTTTCCCTTCTGGTGGAAGGCGATGAAGCCCTCCAACTGAAAAATATAGTAATCCATCCAGCAATGTTAGTTCAAATCCTAACCTAAATATACAACAAATAAAGGTCAAACATTTTACAGCTTAAGTAATTATGCTCACCAAAGTCTAGGTGCTGGTGAACATCATCAGGCACTGAGTATGGAGCCGATGACCTCACTAGAGACCGGCCTTCTCTGACATAACGGTGGAACCTGCTTCCTGGAAGTAGGGTCTCTGCAACCCTGAAATTCACAATCCACACAAAAACAATAACAGCCCAAATGTCTAGGATGAAGCCAAAAGCCGTTGCCTTCATCAACGCATCTACTAAGCCATTCCCACATCATGAACATTAACAACAGTAGCTGTTTGGGGTGAGGCTTTTCTTTGTTTTTTGTTGTTTTTTTTTAGTCCAATAACATTAGTCTAGATTTATGAATTTCACAACTCTACAGCGTGAAGTTAGATTTCAACCAATAACCACAGAAAGAGGAACTGCCTCATGGCCCCTGCAACATTCATGTACAAAGAGAACAGCAGCAGAAAACACCCGTTTTCTGTGTCAGGTGCCAGTAAAACTTACTGTTCAGTAAACAAACAAAACAGCTTACTTTGCAGTCATGGTGCACTGTAAAAAATCCTGAGTATGAACAGACAGGCAGTTTTTAATCCCATGACTCTGCAACCAGCGATGCACCACCTTCTGGGTCAGTTTAGATGGACGCACAAGGGAGGACACTTCGTCCAGGCTAAGGTAATCACCTGTGGAGGACAAAACAAGCCTGTCTGTCATAGATAAAGAGGTGAAAGTTGAGAGAAGCCTTTTGTCTTATCAGGTAAACTGTCAAGTCAGTACAGTTCCTTTCAAATTAGTGTGATTTACAACACATTATGAAGAACCGAAATAGAAATAAGTAAATACACAAACCCTACTGAGCATCTTAGCTTAGCAGGTGTAGATTTTTAGGATGCTGGCAGTAATCAGGCAGCACCCTACCATAGCGCGCCGAGTCAGGGTCTGACACTAGTCCGAGTGTTTTCTCCAGCAGGTTAATGTTCTGCTGCTTCAAGGCAAACGTCAGCTCCAGTTCCTCTGTGGGCTCGAGCCGGCCAACATTAGCCCAGTCCTCTGGTATCCTGGAGGAAGAGAAAAACATTTTAGTCCTTTACCAAACGAGGTCTCACTTTATCTAGTGTTTCCACAGAAAACGAACCAACAGCAACAGACCTACCTACCTGCTGAATTTCAAGTAAAGTGAGTCATTTTCTGTGATTTTACTGTTTAATGAATCTTTATGTAAACTTTCAAAAGATTCACAGCAAACTCACTTTATTTTTTATTTTTTTAACCATAGCAGGTATCTTTAAAAACAGTCACTAAAGCTTGACTTTCAAACGTCAGAGAGAGGTTTAATGAAAGACAAGTACAAACATTAAGGACTAATGCCTGAGATAAAGTAATTGCTTTGCTCACAGGACATCTTGGTCATATTCCAGATATCCACCCCAGACCAAAGAAGTGAATAACAAGCAGATGGAGAAGGTCACTCTGTTGGGAGAAGAAACAAAACAAAGAATAAAATTTACACATACAGACGTTCATATACACATGAAGCTAACTGGAAATACTTAAAACAGGTCGTTACTTCAATGTGTAATCTCTAAATTACAAGAAAATCTCACTGTCACTTATCTTATTACGTAGATGCACGGATATAAAACCGTTTACTTACGCTATACGTGTAATCATACATGTTATTTAGAGCAAAGTTGACCTTATATCAACACTTTAACTTAGCCTGCCATGTTAGCAGCGGCTAACATCTACATTACCTAGATCATCGCAACCGATGAAAAACAAATCACAGCGAGCGCTACTTTACCAGTCATACAACAATGTTAACGTTATCCGAATAATTTCTTCCCAAGAAATGATAACTTTGCATTTATTTCTTTCCACCACTCACACTATGTACATCGTGTCGCCAGCTTGCACAATGAACACGAATGGTCAGTAGGCGATTATGGAGCGCAGTCACGTGACGTGTTTCCACGTGACCAGCAACGCCGCCCTTTTTGTCTTTCAAATTGGATCCATTAACACTTGCTTAACACAAGTTTATTTTACCACCTTTTGGTTTGTATTTTTAAAAACATGTTTTAACCATTCAAGTAAATGTCAGAACCCGTGATTCTTGGTCTTTGACACATATTCAATAATATCACAATTCTGCTTTAAGGTATTTTATTTTTCTTGTAAAATTCTCAAAACTTTAACCTCTTGAATTCTCTAAAAACCTTTCAAAATAAAATTCCACCAAAGTGTTTATCTGTGCAGCCAATGAACACCAGAAAGGGGGAACCATTTTCTTGGGTAACTTTTTCTCTAATGTAATATATAGAGTAGAGTGGGTACTTTATTGATCCCACAGTGGGGAAATTTCTGTGTTACAGCAGCAATAGAGAACAACCAATATAACACCATAAGAACAGACACCACCATAACAGACACATAACAACAGAACTTCATATAAACACGGAAAAGAACACAAAGAGAACACACCCGCTGTAACTTGCTGCCACTCCGCGCGGCGCATGCGTACGTAAGTACTATTGTTATGGTCAGCTGCAAGCTGGCATATCAGGTGACGCCACGGTTTGACGTTGCCTGTGTAGTATGGGGGTAGCCCAACCAAGTGATTATATTGTATAGCCATTTTTAGGTTCAGGGTTTTTCATTTTCCAGGCTGCCTGTGCGCAGGTTTGGGGGTGGAAGAGATCTGGACGTGTAATGTTAATTTTACCTGTGATCCTTTGAATAAACCAGCACGGTTAATTTTTATATAATCCAAGTGGTCTACTTCGTCTTTGTGAGTTCCTGGTTTGAAAGAGCCGGAAGAGGCTAAAACAAATAGAGCCTTTACATACAAGGCAGTAGAGACTAAACACCAGGCATTAGCCTACAGTAGGTCCAAAGTTTTATTGCTCTTTGTGTGGAAGGGTGGCAGAGAGGGGGAAGCATGGTTTAATGTAGTGATGGGTCCGGCAACACCGATGCGTCGCCACATACGTCGAGCTCGTAGAGCAAAACCCCGTGTCGGTGCGCGTATCGCGTTAAGAAAGTCACGTGACCGATACAGGAACTGTTTCGAACTGACACTGCCGCGCCAAACTGTGTTTATAAGGAAGCGCATATGTCAACGGGATGTATCTGCCAAAACGAATCTCTGATCTATTGCGGTTCATCGTCACATTCATCAAGAATTATGGAGCAGCCTCAAGCCAAAAGAAAGGTTTCCGCCGTGTGGGACCATTTTGATCTCATATCGGAAAATAAGGTATTGCCAGGTCCCAGGATCCTATGAGATACTGG